CTTTTTATATATTGTTCAGTGCCAGCCTTTTTAGCATATTTCAGTTAACACTTAAGATACTGATAATAATGAAAAATGACCACCAAACGAAATGATAAACTTGCCAGAATGTGACTGATTTTTTTTATTTATTTATTTTTTTCCCCTCCCATATTTTGAGCTTCCATTTGCTATTCTGGCTGATGAAAAAAGTCTTGAAAAAGGTACAATTCTGTTTCTGCTTGGGCTTCTGATAAGTTCTTATTCTGTTGGAACTAAAGCTCCCTTCCACATGTGTTCTTAAAGCAATCCTTTAACCACAAATGTTTTAGTAATATGCTTTGTTGCACCATTTGTTAAAAAGAAAAAAACAACACCCATGGATTAGATGACTTAATTTAGTGATTAAAACCAAAACCGTGTTCTGTCACCATTGTTGCCTGTGATACCTGTGAAACGCTTGGTGAAAGGCTCTCAACAACTGCAGAAATTATTTTTTGTAATTTATACTCGTATTGGTAGAAGGTCTCAGAGATAAGTTATTAGCACAGGGAATCGTTCTTACTGTTGTTCTTCCTGCATTGTTACGCTAAACTAATTTTAATGTGACTGGCTAAATTGTCTTATCACAATGCACGTAGTCCAGAGAAATGTAATTTTCTTGTGCACAAATACTTGAAGATTCATAATGTATGATGTCCTCCATTTACCAGAGTTGTGCTTGAGATAGAACACCGGGAGTTTCTCTAAATTTCTGGTAACCATGACAACTGTTACTTTAGTGTTATTAGCCTGATGTAATTTATTGGAGTAGGTTGCTAGCGGTAATTTTTTAGTTGCATTGGGTTCATACTTGTTAGTATAATTCTAAGTAATATTTAGAATTTATATTTAAGAATCACTTAGTCATAATACTGGAATATGCTCTGTGCTTTGTGGGTTTGTGTGTTTTTAGTGAGATCCTTACTTTGCAGAGGAGCAGGTAAGGGGTCTTGTCAGAGGCCCCTTGATGAGTCCAAGGCAGAGCTGTCCTTGAAATGTGTATGTTGCTGGTTGCCACCCAACTGTTATGTTCTTAGGGCCGAATGGATCTTAAGATTTTGATCCATACAGTTTTCTCCCTTTGACCCCCTTCCGTATATTCAGAACGCATATATACGCACCCTTTCTCTTTACCTATTTCTTATGCATTCCTAGAATTGCAGAATTTCATTCCTTATGAAACTTGGCATAAAGACAGATATACTTGTCAAACTGTGCAAGTGCTTTGTATTCTGTGCATGATTTGAGGTGTGTGAATTCAATTATGATTTGTTTAAAAAAAATAATTAGGTAATTTTTACTGTCATCATCTGATATGAAAAATAATATAGACAGGAAATTGTATTTTTTAAGAACTCTGCACACATTAAAAAGAAAGTGAAGCCAAGCTGGAAGTAAAGATGATAAATGACTCTGAATGGGAAAAAAGAAAACATGAACTCCATTCAGGAATGTACCCTAGCTGAAAATGAATCCATTTGTAAAGACTAAAGAAATTAGGCACAAGGGGAGTCTAATTCTGTTCTCTTGTATTTAGTTATCTTTTAATGTATGCAAAATGGGAGTGAAAAGATATTCATAGCATTAAATGCTTTGCCCATATCTGCAGAGTGCTAGACAATGGGAAATCCTGTCCAGTGTGATCTCATTTGAAAAGATGCAAATGAATGTAGGTAGGAAAAACAATACAAATAATTTCCTTTAAATGGGTGGAAGACATGTCAGAAGCAGGAATTTTATTTGCATGTTTCGATTTATTCATGGTATGGCAGCAGTGTTTTGAGTCTGATTTTGTCATCTGGGACATTTTTGGAATATAGTTTGTCAGTAACTTCTTAGAAAAAGTTTCTTTTATGCATATGTCAACGTTAGCTTAATTGTCGGAGGGGGAAAAGCCCACCAGTTTTTACAGAAGTAACTTCTTTGAACTATTTTCAATGTATTTTCACTGTCATTTAAAATATTTTCCAAAATCATTGTGTTGCTCTTTATCTGATAGGTGAGATATCTTACCATTTTTACTAGAGTTTCATTTTTATCTTCTTTGTACATTGGTATGGCTGAGGCTTACAAATATTACTATGTCTAAACTAGACACCTAAAAGACAGATTGGTTGTAGCTTTGTTTGCTGGACCATTTTATATCTGTGCATTTTGACTGCAAGTGAATCACTAAAATAACACACTTTGTAGGCTCTTTACAGGGTAATACTGCAAATTATTTCAGTGTGTTTAAGCCTGTTAACTAGTTCATAGTCTTTGAAGCCTGATTTCCAAAACTTGGACGGAATTTCAGTTATTGCATCAAACAGAAATGTGCTATCTACACAGAGGTGTACAGGAGATTAGATTTTTGTTAGTAATTGCTCATTATGCCTGTGCAGATTTGTACATCTAACTTGCATGTAAGAGCTGACATCTACATAGTAACAGTATCCAGGATTTTCTTTGTCAGTGTACAAATGGCACGTACATGCATACACACGATGTGCTATGAAGGGGTCTGTCCTTTTAAGGAGCTGGATCTGTCATGGTCTTAGCATCTTTTAATAAAGTGTGAGGGTTGGCATTTAAAAACTGTAGTGTGATCATGAATACAGGGTGCTTCCAGGCAGTTTGAACCTGAAATATATACTTTGAAAATCCTATTTTCAGATGCCACTTAACCCTCGTGACTCCTAAATTTCACATTTGCCAAAGATTCCCCTCAGATTTGACAGTGCTGAGCCCAAGCCAATTTGTGCCTGCTGCACTTACTCAGTTATTTTAGGCAGTGCTTTTAAGCAGCGCTTTTGGAGATTGCTCACCACAGTTGACCTTTCCTTGAAGAATTTTCAGAGGTTAAATTTCAGAGGTTGAAATACCTGCTCTAGGGTACAGGAGGCAGGTGTGAAGAACTATCTTTTGTTTTAAGATTTGAAACCTTGTGTGCGTATATAGAGTTGGGGCACTTTAGCCTAGAGAAGAGGAAACTCACGGGGATGTCATCAATGTATATAAATATCTGAAGAGAGGCTGCAAAGAGGATGGAGCCGGGCTCTTTTCAGTGGTGCCCAGTGACAGGACCAGAGGCAATGGGCACAAACTGAAACACAGGAGGCTATGTCAGAATATCAGGCAGCTTTTTTTTTTTTTTCTGTGAGGGTGATGGAACACTGACACAGGTTGCCCAGGGAGGTTGTGGAGTCTCCATTGTTGAAGATACCTAGAAGCTGTCTGGATAGGGTCCCAGGCAACTGACTCTAGGTGACCCTGCTTGAGCAGGGGGCTGGACAGGATGACACCCCAGATGTCTATTCCAACCTCAACCATTGTGTGATTCTGTACTGCTTCCCAGTAAGTCCTCTGACACCTGACTTGCATGCTGTGTGAAGGGGCCTTTATTCCTTCAGCCAAAGCAGCATCTCTTAGGTGAAAACAGTAAGTTTGCAAAAAGAAAAAAAAAAGATCACAGGAGTTTCTGTGGTGTTATAATCTAGAAGATATGGCATAGCCATAGAAAGTGAATCCAGAGTTTAAAATGCATGAACATCCATTGGAATGGGTACTGCAATACAGGTTGCTCCTCTAAGAAATTTGCCCCCAGCATGAGTCTAGAGTAACTTCCTTGCTAGCACTCCAACTTAGCATACATTTAATTGCTCCACAGAAAGTAGAATGACTCTGAAAAACAGGATGGAAAATTATCACACTGAGCTGGCAAGCAGTTCAAGAGCCCTCTGGGGAGTTCAGAGAAGACTGAACTCATGCTTCTTCTGTCCTGGTTGAAGGTTTTAACTCCTGACCTACTGATTAAAAGAGAAAACACTGTCTTTCACTAGTTGTCTTCTGGAAGAAAAGTCACCTCCTTCTCCTGTTATTGTGGTGTTTCATTTTGCATAAACCTAACCCAGGTTCTTACCTCTAGGAAAGTACCTGTGGCTCTGATTCATTCAGAGGGCCCATAGCGCTTCATGGAAAAAACTTATTTTCCGTGTTGTGTGTTTCTATACAGCAATGTAGTTTACAGGGTGCATTTCACTCTGCTGAAAGATGCAGTATTTTGATTTTTATTTAGATTTCCTTTGTGAATCAATTGAAAAGTTCTTAGAAAATCCCAATTGCCAGCAAAACTCCCTGAAACCAGTAAGAATTATGGCTGTGACTGCTTTTAAAGGCCAGACATAAAAGATGTCCAAATGTAAGACTTTATGAGAATCTGATTTTCAAAGAGTAGTAAAGTTTTAGTACAAGTCATGCTTAATGAATTAGTATTCACTTTAAGGAAAGCAAAAGGGAGGGTGCAGGTGGGGTAATTGATTATAAACACCACAGTAACACTTCCACAAGCTGTTACGTTTGATCTGCTGTCCAGTGGTACTCCAAAAAAATATAAAAGGTGTCATGCTTTCAACTCTTCTGAAAGCTTCAAAGAAAACTTTTCAGTGAAAATAGGAGAGTAATGCACCAGTAGAAATAGAAAGTGGTTTTGGAAAGTAAGTTTTGATTTGTTATGCTGCTAAGAGTTCAAACTACAAGTGGGAATAAGTAAATCCAAACACTGCTTTAATGGTTTCTCTCTTACATTGATGCTGTGGAACTATGTGCCTATTAAGAAGATGCTTTTTAAAGTAAGGGGCTAACTCTGTTTATTCCTGTCTGCACTGTCCAGAAAGACTGCTATTGGAAGCTGCGTTTAAACAAGAGTTTGCATCTGCTTTGCAGTGTTTTGGGTCTCGGATGGAAATGTGGGCTCACTCTAGGCCTTAGTTGCATAGGCAGATATGGGAGATTCCTTTTTTTACATACTAATTCATCTGGTTATCGCCTGTATGTGCTCTGGGCAAGTACAGGGGCCTTCTGATGGGTGCCCACAAAAGCTTGTCTGTCATTCTTAAGACTAGGGATAGTTTTCTCTGAAACAGTTTGTGTTAACATTGTGACTTCTGACAGTTTACATCTTTATTTATTTATTTATTTATTTATTTATTAACTTTCAGGTGCAGAAACCTTACATTTCCTGAGAGGCTTCCTGAGGTCAGTATTGTATTCATCTTTGTTAATGAAGCTCTCTCGGTGATTCTGCGCTCCATCCATTCAGCCATTGACCGGACTCCTGCTCATCTGCTCAAAGAAATTATTTTAGTTGATGATAACAGTAATAATGGTAAGAGGATTTGATTGGTTTTGTTTGTTTGTTTGTTTTTTCTGACTTAGAGGTTGAATCATAAATGACAATCCTTGAATTGTGGCACCTGTTCACCCCACAGGCATTTCAAATGTTGTCACTGAATTTTCCCCCTTCTTCATCCTACAGTTTTGCTGGGCTGTCTCCAAATATGCATGAATGGGCATGTTAAAAAGAGTATGTACAAAGATACGATGCCATTTCTGTATGTTTAAGGTGTCTGGTAAGCAGATGTTTAAGAACAGACTATAGACTTAAGATGTTTTAGCACTTAAGAGTTCTTACGGGATTAGATTCCTGTGCTTTTCCTGTTTCAGTTGTATGCTTGTATGTGCATACTCACTTTGTATAAAGCATCTTTGTTTCTTGGACATCTCATTTTGATTTCCTATTCTCCTCATTGGCAGCATTTATCTTGCTCCTTTTCTACTGTATGTGTTCAGGTTTTGCTCTTCATGATTTGAAGGACTGGACTGCCCATATCTGATTGTTCAGTACTTGCTTAGGTGTTTGTCAGTGAGGCCTTGCTGAGCATGTCTTATTTTCTGGTAATATTAGCAATGACATTTTAATAAGCACAGAATGCTGAACTTAAAACTTTTGCTCTGCTGGGGAGTTAATTCTGAACTCCTAAAATACAAGGAGAATCTGAATTTATCTTGTTGAAGGAAAATGCTGAGCAGAGGGCTTCTCATATCCTTGTCATCATTACAGCTGTTATATGATCACTGCAGCTAGATTCTGTGACTCACTGCTCATCATAAATGTGTCTCAGATTCGTACAGAAAAGAAGGTTTTTGGAAAACAAGTTAATAAATTCCCCACCCTAGGCTTTGCACTTCATCCTCTCCTCTTCTGCTGTCAGTGAAGGGAAAAGCAAATCCCGACCCTTTAAAGAACACACAAAACCCAACAACTTGATGTAGGCTTATGTCAAATACAATTCCAGTGAATAATACTATGGTTAGAGTTACCTAAGGCTGACCAAGCTTTTCTTGAAACACCTAGTTATGGAACAGTGTGAGTGAATTGGGGTGCAGGATTTATGAGTTGTTCTTAGTTCATGGCACAACTTGTGATGTAGCCATGAGATGGTAACAGTAAATAGAAAAACAGTAAATGAAAAATCCCATGAAACAGCAAATTATAAGCAAAGTAAAAAACCCCCAAAATTAACATCTGTGCACGTGCATACATGTGTCTCAGAAACATGTTGTGAACTAAAGTAGAATTTTGATTTGCTGCAGCATGCAGTTCAGTTGTTTGACATGTTGTTTTACTGATGAAATCTTGGTGGTCTTTGATTTTTGCCCACTCCTTCATGTAATACATGGCATTTGATAGAGAAAATAAGAAACAAGTATTTTTTTTTTTTGTGGACTTGAGCTCTGGAATGTGTTTGTAGAAATTAATTCCTGCATCTTTCAAACAGGAGCTCAGTGAATATGAATGAGTATTGGTGATACAGGGCACAAGGCCCGTGGATGCACAGGAACTGACCACAAGGCAGCCATAGAAGAAAAATAATCTGACTGAAAAAAGTGGTTTCTAGAGGTTGAGTCTGATTTACTGTAGTTTACAGGCAGTTATATCAGTGGGCACATTGCAGGGCCGTGTCAGAAACACCAGTGTTTCTGAGAGCCTGTCATCACTGTGACGAGCTCACTAACAAATACGCTTTGCACTGTGCTCTGTGGGCTTGTCAAAAGTATTTGTTTTTGTTATTATTTACCTGAAATAGATAAGAAATCACAGGAACCACTCAGTCTTTCAGGAAGACCTGTTCAGCCACATTTTTTGTTAGTACTGGTATTAGTACTTTATAGTATCATATTTTTATGCCTGGCTGTGCCTTTTATTCAAGCTTGCCTTTCTTACCCTCTAGTGCTTTAAATCCTTAGCTTCCTGGCCTCAGACAGGAGGACAGAAATTGAGAGGAAGGTAACCTTTGGTTTGGCTCTCTTGGCTTGGTGTTACATGTCATTCTGTATGAAATCACTCTGTGCAGAGTGATACTTAGTCTCCTATAAAAAATCAGCTGTCTCCAGGATTTTCTGCTACTCTAACCCTTTTTCTGGCATCTCCTCCCTGCAGTAGTAAATTAGATTCCTAGAGCCCCCTTTATCCCATAATGTATGCTGAAGAGCTGGTAACAGGCCTCTATTTGGAGAGGATGGGTGTTTGGTAGAAAAGGGAGTGATTGTAAAGATGATTTATGGGCTTTTCTGTTATTAGTTTAAATCCTGAAATATTTATTTTACAATTCACTTTTGCTTTCACAGTATTCTATTTTTTTTTTTCTCCCTTCTAAATGGTTGAAATTATTCCTTTGTATTTAGTGTCATTCTATGGCTTTGTTAGTATCTCTTTAGGTTGCAAGTGTTGCTGCTTGTAAGATAAGTGGGTTACTCTGGGTTTCACTGTAATGGTACCTGAGGGAGAAAAAACTTGCTTTATGCTGGAGTCTGGCACCAGACTCTGCTTTTTGCAGAGCCCTGTCAGAATCGTAATTACAGGAGGTATATTCACTGTCAGGCTTTTGCCAGGGATGGCAACTTTTATAACTCAAAGCAGGATTTTTTCTGAGATGCAACAGCCATGGATTTCACAGGCAAGAAACATCATGCTATGGGAAGTGACTAGAATGAAAAAGTGAGAACAGAGATCAGGCAGAGCGCAAATAAACACTTTTTTTTTATTGAGAGTTTCTTGCACTATTTGGTTGGATTCCCATAGCACAGTGGTTTAAAATTAAAGCAGATACGATGATTGGCACTAGAGGATGGCACTGGAATTTCCTGCTTCTGAGGGGAGGCAATATACTGATAGACTGGGAGAAATTCTTGCTATGGGCCGAATTCTGAATCTAGTAATGAACACCTGGATTCATGTCTTATTTCGGTAGATATGTGTCAGAAAAGAGCAGTGGAAGAACTAGTTGCTTTTTAAAATTCCAGACGGCTGATTGCTGTAACCATATATTCAAGTGTACAGCCAAAGCCTGTACATTTGTCTTGAGCAGTATCAGCTATAGCATTTTATTTCATGCACTTCAGGGTATGTCAAGCAAATTATCTATGACTCTCTCTAAACCTCAGTGCAGTTTTTCAAGTTCCCATCATGTTTCAGGAGACCTCAATTACTCTCTTTGTGAAGTTCCCCTGTTTTAAAATAAATATTTCAAGTTAGGAAACTGTGAAGATGCCAGCACGTGCCATTTGAAAGCAGAAAATAGATTTAGCAGGCCCCAGAATTTGGATCCATTATTTTAATAAAACCGTTTGCACAGCTTCATGGGGGTATTTCACCATATCATCTTTTCTGGTGGAATTCTAATAAGCATAACACTTAAATGTTTCATATATGTTGTTAGGTACACTAGTATTAAAATTTAATTTAATTGAAGGTTAAAAAATGCATTTCAGTGTCTGTCTTTCTACTGTACAGGGGGGACAGAAGACTTACTAAATAAGTAACCCAAATATCAGTGCTGTTCATTTGGGCCTCATTCAGGTCTCAGTCACATTGGTGTGAAACAGAGCAACTGCAGACAGTTCAGCTGATTTACAGTAGTTTTATGTGCTGTCTCTCAGATGAGAATCTTTCTCAATTTTGTTAGGAGCGCTGTTTGCTTTTCAGAGGTAATATACTCATTAGTTTCTAACTTCGCAATAAAAAAATTTATTACTCAATGCATTAGAGGAGAGGGATTTGCAGAGAAGAGGCTTTAAAAAAAAACTTCTAAGTGACCATGCCCATGACTCCCGGTGCTTAATTAGATCTCAGAAAGTTATTTAGAAAAAACATGGCCTGAGCTGGAAAGTACTGAAATAGTGTTTTGTTCATTCTCTGGCTTGTTGCATCCTGTCCTCTGTGGTGCCACTGGAGTCCCATTCTGGCTTTTCACTCCTTTTGCTGGCATTGAACCCCACTGATTTATTGAGAACCTATGACGATATTTTAAGTTGATTCGAAATCTCTCTAAAAAGGCTCCTTGTGAGCTATGATGTATGTGTTCAGCTTCATGGGGTTGCAGTGTGCATTAATGTGTCCAGAGTATGCCTTATGAACTGTTACAGCAGTAATTATAATCCTTTGTGACATTTTGTTCAGATTGAAGTTAATAATAGATGTTGCAGTGGAGGCTCAGGTTTCATAAGGTTACTTCCTTTTTCTTTGAGTCATTACTTAAGAATGAAATATTCTAACATGTTCAGTTTAATGATTCTTGTTTTGTCCTGAGATTTCCATGAATACAGCTATTGAATTGGAGTGATAATGCTGGGTATCATGGGATGCTAATTTTGTGACTTGCGCTGTTAAAAACTAGCACAGAGTGGTAGAAAGTGGGTCAGGTGCAACTGTGTCACCTTTGAGCGATTTGCAGTGTTGTCCTCAAAACGCTGAAGAAAAAGAAACTTTTCAGAAAGCGTCCAGAGCTTTTCATTAGAAAGGCATATTTCTTTTTTTGGTGTTTTTAAGAGGTAATTGGGAATAGAAGATCATCTGACTTTTGTTCTTTACAAAAGCTTTACTCAAAGGTACTGTTCAAATGCATGCTGGATTTCATATCACAGTGTAATTTGAAGATGGCATACTTGTAGATCAGACAACTGTGAATGAAGATTTAAAAAAACTGTTGCTAACAATGTCTTAGGGAAAACTTTAGGCCTTGCTGTCCTCCTGTTTGGCTTTTTGTTCTTCGCTTATGTGAATGCCAGCAAATTTCAAAGACAAATAAAAACATTTTTAAACAAGGAAAAAGCCAAACTTTATTCAAACCTGAATTCACTTTGGGACATTTTTATACACTGTGAAGGCTTCACTTTATCTGCCTACATTCATTCCCCTCATAAATTAAAGGTATTGATGCTGAAATCCATGTTATTGCCCAGCCCTTACACAAATGAGTTTTCAGTAGTGTTGGCAGGGTCTGACATGAAAGAGGGCTGTGTAATACTAGTTAGGAATCAGATGCT